ATTCTTCAATGTTCAATCCCATTCAATTCGATCATTTCACTTTAATTTTCATACTAATTTTGCCAAAACTTTGTTCCTTTTATTTCTCAGAAACACCAAAAAATGAATAATTTCATTTTGCTCTCTAGTTGCAACATAGGAGTAGAAAACTGGTACAAAACCCAATTGTTGCGACATCCGTTGTTGGATGGAATTGAGTTTCAACGTAGTGGGTAGTCAAATGCTAGAAAATAGATCGTTATATCTAGTCTTTGAAAAAACAAACAAAGATATTTGGGTATGAGAGTGATGAGTTTCAAAAAATCAACCTTTTTTCACAAGAAAAGAAAAGTTTTTGTTGTCAAAAAATAATCGGAGAAGTCACCTTATGCTGGAAATTGTTTAGGAGAATAGGGTAGGGTTGAGAAGAAGATGAACAGAAAACGATGGTGAGGCAAAGGTTGTTTTTGTATTTATGTAAGGAGGGTAAAATTGGAAGAAAAACATTAATGCAATCTAGAAATCTAAAAACGATAAATAAATAAAAAAAAAATGTTTACCCCTAAAATGTCTAATATTTAGGAATGGAGGGAGTTATATTTAAAAAAAAGATTATTATCATTATTTAATTAATTATATGTACAATTAAAATGATTCATATGATATTAATAGTAAAGTTAATATTTATTTTTTAATATTTTAATCTTAATTAATAAAAAAAGTACAATAATCATATATTTCAAGACATTAATAAAAAAACTATCGTATATCATGATCTATAATTAAAAATTATTTGTTGCTACAGCAATCAGCGGTATAATTATACATTCTTCGTTCAACTCCAATCCACTTTATAGGATAGAAGAGATATGCATTTGCATTTATACATACAACAATCTCCATGTAAAATACCGAGGAAGCTATATCTAGTTATCTCCTTTCTGTTCTTGATCTCGAAGGCATCAAGGTAATGGAACCTGCATATGCTACTCTGCAAGTGCCTAGAGTGGGTACATGTTCCTATATGCTGCATAGTGCAACATGCAGTTCTTATTGAAGATTCCAGTGAATCAAACCATCATAGCCCTTGCAGTATGTACGAAGTTTGATCTGCCTTCTTCCAAAGGTATATATTTCTACGCATATAACAAACAACATAGGCATGTACTAATTCAGTCTAGTCTAAAAGGAAGACCAAGTCAATCAATGTATGAAATACGAAACAAAACATTTTATTTAAAAAAATATGACACAAAACATGGTAATTATTTTGCTCCTTTATCTGTTGCTCCAAATTGACCTCTGTTTCATTCCGTAAAATTTTAAATAAGTTAGATTTAGAAGTAGGATTTACCTTTTCAAGGCGTGATTTATAGCTCTCTCCCCATCCACCATTCTCCCTTTGTGTTTTGAGGAGAAATTCAACACCTTTTTGCATTGCTGGACAATTGTTGTAAGTTTTGCCAGCAACAGCTAGTCCTACAAGTGCAAACCATGAACCATATGTGAAGCAGACTCCCCAGCATCCGTACCTATTGAAGTTCGTCACGTAATTGATTTCTCTATACTTTGTTAAATATCATGTGCTTTAGAACATATTAGAAAAACACAGAAGAGGAATGTACCATGACCCATCAGGCATTTGCACATTCTCAAGATAGTGTACAGCATTTGCAATAAAACTTTCAATCTCCTTCTTCCTATGCTCTGGGTATAACTTCTTAAACAAAATTAAAGCTTGGATTGCTGATGAAGTGCACTCAACATATTCGTGCTCAATGACAATGTCCTCGAAAAGTCCGTCGGATTAAGCATCTGAGAATGAAAGAGAAAGAAGCATTAACTAGCCTCATCTAAATCTAGAAGAGTTTAATAACCTTTGAAATTTCCATGAAGAAAAAGAGAGAGGCAGTTTCCCATATTTTTTAGCGCTTACTTCCAACCATCTTGAAGCTCCAGCTGGTTCCCAAGCAGATAGAATTCCATTTTTTCTCTGCAATTAGTCAAATGAAAAACTTATTTAGACAGCGCAAGAACTTAACATTTAAACAAAAAAACTATCAATACTAGGATTACTACAAATATTCACCTGAAGAGAAAGCACAACATTAACGGTATCATACAAACCTCTCTGGTTCTAGTTTCTCACCAACAATTTCTTGTGGCAGTGTTGATATTAGTAGGCAACACTGTAAAATAAGTAAAACCCATTAAAAATAAAATGAAAGAACTAATTAATGGTGCATTCCTTAATTTCTTTAAATCTATTGCCCAACAATAGAAAAATCAAGTTTACCTTCAAGCCTTCTGCAGCGCAGTCAGAAACTTGCCATCTATGATCTTGATCAGAGAAAGTCCAAGATCCTTTGGAAATATGACGATGCATTTTCTTAAAATTACCTGAAGGGTTATCTTTGACCTTCAAAATTTTAAGTGAGAAATAACAATTATAATCATTTTCTCACTTTCTCATTAAGATGGAAATTAAGAATTGTTTCTCATGGTAGGCAATAAAGTGTCAAACCTGAGATATCTTTATGAAATCATGTCCTCTTTTAAGTACAGGTCCAATTTCATCTACGAGATTGCTAGCAAGTAAAGCTTGAACAGCAAAACCAGCTTCCTACTCTTGACTTCCAAAACTCTGCATCTTCACTCCATCTTCAGCAACCCATATGTAATCTAGGATCCTAGCAAGATGCCTTTTAAAGTAATCACCATTTGGATCTTCCTCCCAACAAGCAAGCATGCATGCATAGCGCCTGGTCAATATTAGCGAAATCAGAGAGATATTCATCAAATAACATTAATACTCCTCTTTCCTATAAATTAGTTTCTAAATAGATGCATTACCTTCTCCACGCAACCCATGGTGATGTATCTACCGTTCTCATCTTCATAATGAATGTGTTTCATAGCTATTTGCAGAGCCTTTTCTCTAATCAACTTATTAAGAGGTCAACGAGTAAGAAATGGCTCGGCCAAAATGTACAGACTATCCCACGTTAAATCTAGTATCAATGGATGTGGGTAGTAAAGATCCTCCTACAATACCAATTTTGAAAAACAGTAATCTCTATTAGTAACATTGAACATAAGAAATGTACCATGGTGTATCTCTGACTTGGAACAATACCTTACAGGAGCTCATGAATGGTGTGCTTTCCTCGAATTAATTTCATTGTAAGGTTGAAGGTAAAGTCCTTCTCTCAATTGTTGAATTAGTAGTGTAATTGGTCCAACAAATCTTTTCCCATATAGATATGACATAGGCATGTAAACCATACGACAATAACACGCCATTTTACCTGCATATTACAAGGGGAAAGAAAAAAACTTCAACAATCTTAATGTCCAGAAACCATGAAGCATTAAATTGTTTCCCGATTCAAAACCAAAAGGGTAAGTTAATTAAAGCCAATTTTGGAGCAAAGTTTTCAATTACTGGTGATAGTCTTTAGTCATGCAGGTAGAGTATGTAAGATGGGACAAACCTGGGTGCATGGGAAGGAAGGAAGGAAGGATCCAAAACTCTGGGGGCATTGGGTTGTTTCCAGACCAGTCAAAGATACCTAGTATCTGGGACAAATAGATAGTAAACATGAAATTTGCACTTATAATCCAAAATTATAGAAAATTTTAACAACCATTAATTAAAATTGGTCATCATACCTATTGGGGAGATATACGGCTTAGTAAAACAACATTGAGTAATCCATTACATATTTCAACATTACGTTGAAACCAAAAGACTAATCTAATAATATCATGGGTCTTCATATATATACGCCACTCTTTTCTTTTATATTTCAACACTTCCCCTTTCATTTGTGAGTTGTGAATGCCCCATCGTGAGAGTTCGTCCAATTATTTTTTTTTAACATACATTTCTTTCCAATTATTTTTCTTTAACATACATTTTTTAACATACATACATGACATGATCTATGAGTATACTCATCATGGGCACAACATCATTCATGAGTATACTCATCATGGGTTTACACAATATACACTCTCACTTTGCTAAGCTTGCTACACCATTGATTCTAATTCCATTTATTGGAGAGACATACACCATTGGCTTTGATACTATTTGTTGGAGAGATATATAGCTTAATGGGATGACATTAAGTGGTCCATTACATGTTTCGACACTATATTAAAATCAAAAAACTGATCTAGTAATTCTATGAATCTTCACATATATAAGCCACTCTTTCCTTCTATATTTTTTTTTATGTGGGATCTTGACTCTTCACATTCACAAGGGAACATACTACTTCAACAATACCAAAAGCCATGTCTTTCCCCGTGAAGGCATGTGAGTGACACCGCCATGGTCGAGAATCCATTTGCGTGCTCCTGCACAAGCTTTATCTAGACCACCATTGGGTCCTTCTCCTAGAATACGCATGCAAATGTAGCTAAGAGCAGTACAAAACATGCTGCTCTGACCTTCGATATGCAATCCCCAGCCACCATCTTCATTCTACATAGCACAAAAATGCATCAACAATTCATAACTCAAGAAGACATCAGATTAAAAAGAAAAACATGCATGCTTCTGTAGTCTATATACCTGATGATAATATATGTATTGAAGGATTTCTTTGCGATGCTCTGCATGGAATACAGTATTGAGGCGCCCTGTGATGTACTAGGCGAACACCTACAGCAGCTATAATTAGCGCATGGCATGACATATGAAGATGGATTTATATTTAGGAAAATGCGTAGTTTTCTAACAATGGGCTCACCAGGGGTGGAAGGAAAAACAACGGGCCAGCATTTTCTGCGGCTCAATGGCCATCACTAGCTTCCAATGCAGGGAAAAAAATTAACAGCTCTTCTCAGTGCTTTGGTGGCCTTCTCATGGCTGATTTGTTCTCCATCCTCAATAGTCACGGGTGGAATGGTTTGTTTGAAATTCTTCTCCCTTGAAAACTGCAATTTTTTTCACCCCTCTAATATTAGTAGTTGAATTTTTTTCATCCTCAGTTTTTTCTATATCATCAAAATTTTAAAAATAAGGTACAATTCATCACATGTAAGTTACACTTTTTATAATAATTGATAGAGATACAAACTTTTTTATATTAATAGAGGGTTATCTCTTTATCAATAATTAAAAAAAAATTAGAATACAAGTTAAGTCTCATTAATTATAATTTTTATAATTAATTTTGTATAAAAATTCAAATATAATATAATATTTACACTTAAAATCTATCAAAAATTATGAATCTAATATAAAATTTATATAAAATTCATTAAAAATATTTTAATTAATAAATCTTAATGTATACCTTAAAAACATATATTTGATAGATCTTTAAAAAATATATACAATTCACAAGTACATCCTCTCTCGTCAAAATTTGAATAAGCTTAAAATTTTATTTTAGTTCCTTTACTTTAATAAAAGAAATTGTTTTTTACCCATTTACTTAAGAAAACCCTTTTTCATTTTCTAAAATTTATAATCTGACTCCTTTTTAATTTCTCTGTAAGTTTTTATATACATAACATATTAGATAATGTAAATTTTAAAATGAAAAAAAAAAAACCCAAAAAGGGCATTTTTAGTTTTTTTTTTAGTTTCTTTACTTTTAAAAAAGTCATTTTTAGTCCCTCTACTTAAAAAAAAAATTATTTTTAGTCTTTCTATTAAAAAAAAACTTCTTTTTACTCCTTTTATTTTAGAATTTTCATCAAAATAATGTCACGTGAAAAAAAATAATAGAAAGATAAAAAAAAGCCAAATTTTAAATTTTAAAAATTAAAAATAAGGTTTTTAAAGTAAAGAGATTAAAAAATTATTAAAATAAAAGAACAAAAGGTAATTTTAACCTTTGAAAAATATATGAAAGCTCAAAGTCCTGTATGATCAACCAACGAAGTTGGAGAGTCTACACGTTTTTTCCATTTTCCGAAGGATAATATTTAAGAAAAAAAAAAAAAAAGGTCGCTTGGGGCAGGGACCCCACGGAGCCTCACCTACTTGGCGTGGCCCGCCAATCCCTATAGCAACTTTATTTATGTGGGCCCCAGAGCATAATTTCCTGACGGTTACACTAAATGGACAAGGACCGCCCTATGCCCGCCATTTAAGATCGACTGATTTGATTAGTCTCGCTCTCTCGGTTTCCTTTTTTCGAATCCTTTTTCTGGTTCTTTTTATTCCAATAAAATTTATTTATATAAAAATTTCATA